ATTTCTGTTTCCCAGCCATAGATTAATATTATTATTATTTATCAATATTTATTAGTTATTATTTATTGTTGTATTGTTATTCATTTATGTAATCTATGGCAAATAAACATTCATGTATTGACTTTCCTTAATACGTTCCGCCCAACTTTACTAACCTTCCATTTTTTTACTACATTTTGAAAAACAGCCAACTTTTTAAACTTCCCATCCAACCTTTACGTTGGCAGCCTAACTTTAACGACTTTGAAGCTATTTTTTTTAATTTCTAGCAAGCATTTTGACTTGAACTAAACTTTTCTGGCCATCAACCCCGCTTTTTCAAACATTAACCCAAAATTAAATATTTCTACCTCTTCCTGAAGGAGAGTTAACAGATGTTTACTGTTATTTGTAATACCGATTTCTAAAACGCTCAAAGGGGAAAATGATGTGTTATGCTGTATTTGATATTGACTATTCTCAACCCTTAAGCAATGATCGCGATTAGCCACTCATTCTGGCATATATATCGCTTATTTATCGAAGGAATCAAGATCAAAATAACGTTGTATACTTAATTCATATTAGCCTTTGGCATTCTTTGCTATAAAGCAATGTCGAATAAGATGTAAATGCATATTATAAACTCTGTCGCAGTTGGTTGTATTGTATATATACTTGCAGATAAACATCATGTCGAATACATTATACTAGTATTATAAATTCAATGTTTGATTCGAATGTCACCTCAAATAATCAATAATAATGATTGTGTATGGATTGTTTCAATATAAATTAGCCACAATGTCTATTAATTTGTAATTGAGCAACATTAAAATTCCAACAATTCTGAAATTTATTTCCAATCACGTTACAATTGCAATTCCTCGTTAAAAGGACTGTGTGGGTGGTCCTTGCACCTGCAAATAAAATAACACATCGTTATGATCCAGGAATAGATGATGTAAACGCATACAATGGATGTATATGTAGGCAATAGATTGGCGTAGTTACATTCATAATAACTGGCATTCAAAATACATCTATGCCAATTGTTTGACACTTACGTTTTCCATAATACCAAGCCCATTGTGAAATTACGATTAAGAGACATCAAAGTATTTATGTCATCAGCGGTAAGCTTGAAGTCAAATACCTATAGATTTAATTGAAC